GGAAAAAGGGAGGGCGGAAGAATGTGATTTAGCGGGAGAGGAGGAAGATGAAAATGGCGTGCGAAGGGGGAGGGAAAAAACGGGAGACGGCTGATTAGAGGAGGGAAGATCGAGGAGACGGGCGTTGAACGTGGACGAGAATGAAGGGTAGCAGAGAGGATGCTGCGAGCACGGTGCTGCTACTTGGTGGGGAGCGGAAAGACGAAATAAAGGGATATGAGAGAGAGCATGCTCTCTTATTGACGAAGGGCAGGGACTACGCCCCTGGTGAGAGTTTAACTCACGGCTGCGCCTATTTTCCCCCGAAACGGACCGCGCGCCACCCGCGCCGACCGACCGAGCGGTCCCCGGGATTTTCGCTGTGTCGTGGCTGGATTCCTGGCTGAATCGAATCGCGACGTTTCTCGGTGTTATTTGGGGTCGAAGGTTGCTTATGGGATACTTGATGATGATTCTTCACACCCTATGCAACAAAAAATGTATACATCATTATCCCAGACACTTCGGGAAAGTTACGAAAAATGCGGTTGAAGATAAGTACATGACAATGGTTATAACTCATTTCATTGCAACTTTACTGTTCCGATTCCTATTTCTAATAATATATTTGTACGTTCTTGCTTAGGAGCCCATATCGAGTGTCATTTACAATGCATTTTTCATAATTCTATTTCCGGGAATAATGGTACATAACTTTTTTGTTCCATAGGATGTGAAGAATCAGGCTGTAACAAAATTTTTTGTTGGACAAGTCGTCCAAAAATTGCCTATTTTTAACACCCACCTTTGTTTTTTAGTTGTTTATTTGAGGTTTAGGAAAGGGGAAAGTTTATTTTGTGGAGTACGATAGTGTGACTAGGAGAATATAAGCTTGATGCTGGAAGTACCGTTAAAATGACAAGTTACAGTTTTCTTATTTCGCAGTTACTGATATCTGCAGAGTGTTGAAAATGTAAAACCATTATAGAAATAAATAGTTTTACTTGAATATTATAATGAATATGTGAAGAAACCGGAAACAATGTATTGCTAGAATTTTTGTAAGGATCACGAATTAACACTAAAGCTACCGAGTAGTTAAATCGATTTTTCAAAATTTCTGTATAGAAACTCTAAGAGTGCATCTATTGAGACTTTAGTTGATTTATAATTCAGTTTGCGTATTGTTAAATTAATTTCTTTGAAAATTTCACAGAGAAACATCTGTTGTCTTTATAATAATTGCGAAAAGAAGAAATCAAGAATAGGTCATTTCATATTTAATACTCGGTAGTTCTAGTGTTAAGGGATTCGACTCCAGTTTAGTAATACTTCGTTGGAATGACTATTGTGTTTGTTTGTTATGATTTAGTATGGTTTAGTGATCTAGGATTAACGTTTAAGCGTTTATATAATGGAGAGAATAATTGCAACGACGTAGTGAAATGTTAACGTTTTAATGATGTATTAACGATACGTCATTATGAGCTTTGTTGATTGAACGTTGCGGGCCAACGACGTATTTAGAAATATTAACACACATTACCAAGCCCTGTACAAGGTTTCAGATAGATGGATTACAAGCTGGAAAAGTTATTGATATTTACTCACACTCGGATGTTCCAATATTGACACGAATAAAAAGTCATCGACCGCAGACGTTTGTTTAGGCACAAATCCAACGATCGATAACACTTTAATTTTAAAATATTACAGATAAATTATTAAACTTACTTTTCTTCAATATTACTGATAATATTTATAAATAAATACAATAAAGGTGCGATCTTTTTGTCTTCATGTATTTTTCTATTTCAAATTAGAAGATCATTAGTCTACAAAAAGTCTTTTACTCTGAATTCACAAACAACCGAAACTTTTCCTCCTGTACAATAAATCTATGTAACATAAAAAATGTTCAGTACTTAAATAGGTTTCCGGTGCACAAAATATACAGTTCACTCAGCAATAACAGTCCTACTACGAAAATTTTACAATACCTAAAAATCATATACATTTACTTTGTAATATCGCAATAAACACATACTAATCATGATTTCGTCAAACGTAATAAATCATTTCTGTAATGTCTCAATAAAAATATATTAATACGATCTCATCAAACGTAATAAATAATTCCTGGTTTCCTCAATCTTCCAATCCCATCAACAACAGTCTGAAGTCATCAACGGACCAAAAATTAAGATAACGGGACTATATATATATTGCCCGCGAATTTCCTGTAGTCACATACGCATAAATCGCGATACTTGTTTTCAAATAAGCAACGTGTTTCTTCGCAATCTTTCCAATTCCGGTGCACTGCGGATATTTCTCGTGTCTCGGACCTGTGCTTAAAACCTCACGCTGTGATAATTACGTGAACATTTCGTGACGTACGACTCATTATCGTACTACATGGATAACCGCACGCCGCTTATGGTTGTTCCGTACCGATATCCCAGCAATTTCCGTTACACTATCGCCAGCAACGCGAGCCGGTAAAAGGATATTGCCGTGTCGAACAGTTTTATGTTTCCAGAGTTGCGCCCGCGCATACCGCCGGTTAACTTTCGAAAATGAACGCCGCAACGAATCAACGACGCGTTTCACATCCCCTATGGACAGGCAAGCGCGTTTGAAAATTATCAGGCTGCAAAATACTAGGGAAATAAATCAGCCGAGGCTTCATAAGGAATTTATGTTTAAATAGAAGGTATAAGGAAAAATATTTCTTTTTCTTTACAATTTCTTAATTCTCTTTATTTTTAATCTCATCTCCATTGCTTTGTACCTATACAAGAAACTTAGGTTATACATATTATTAAACATAGTCATCATGTAAAAAATGTTAATCTTAATATAAAGGAAAATAGTTCTCTTTCATTATACCTTATCAATTCTCTTTATTTTTCATCCCTTCCCCACTGCTTTGTACCTATACAAAAAACTTAGGTTACAAATATTGTTCAACACAGTTGTCATGTAGAGAAAGTTGATCTTATTTCTTAAAATTTATTCTTCGTATAAAGTCTATTCCTAAATTATTAGAAATATATAAAACTGATAATAATTAATCTGAGCAAAGTTATTTTGTATTCAAAGCAATAATGGATTCTATTGTTTTTGTATTTACTTAAATCGTACGAAATGCTTGTCTAGACGTTGTTATTATTATATTTAAGGTGAAAAATAACATTTGTTTTGTATTAAAAATTGATAAACAACTTTTCTTTATGCAATAAAGTAAAAAAACAAAAATATTAATAAATTGCTGATACAACAAATATATATTCAAACAATATATCGATTAAAGCATTATATACTGAAAAAAGCTATAGAAGATTGTATGTACTTTCCTCTATAAAAATAAGAAAGAAGATTCTATATAAAACCAACAAGAAAAGTCTAAATATAAAGTATAAAAGTATGCTCGATAAAAATAATACCATTATATTCCACTGATGATTTAATCCGTTGCATTGGACAGAAAGTTTTCAGTCACCATTCGATTCGAATCATTCAAATTATCAACATTTGTATTCAGCACTACATTTTGTTTAATCAGCGCATTGAATACTGAAATAAAATAGTTGTATCTTAATTTACGCAGAATTTGTCTTTATGTTAGTTGCAAAAACTCTCGTCGATATCTCGTGAAACAAATAACGAATACTTATAGTGAAAAATACTGTCGAGTGCAAAGGGTTAAATACTTGAATACATAAACAAACTTTCCTGCCACTATTACATACCTACACTAATCACGCACGCAAACTAAAAATATATCGTTTATTGGGTTGGTGCAAAAATGTTGACATTCCTTGGAGCAACGAAAAATATCACTGAATTCATTATTCTTTTTGAAATCACAATATTCTCACAATAATGGAATAAATAAACTTATAGAAAGATGGGAGATTATAAATTTCTATAATAATTAATATAATGGATTAAATAAATATGATAGATTAAGTCAATAGAAATATATGAAAAACTCTTCCTTTCAGTTTGTACAAAAAAAAACGTCAAAACTTTTGCATCAGCCCAATACTTCGGCAAAAACGGTGCAGATACAAAATACGTTATTGAAATGAAACAGAATTTAACCTTCGCAAAAAGTGCAACGTCTCTGCGCATTTGTTTGCGTGACAGCCGCCTTATCTCTTCCGCGTGCACATCTCGCAGTTACGCAAACACCAGAAACATTAACATTTCGATAAATTTATCTGCCATGGGAAGAAAAAAAGTCGACCGGCCAGGTTTTTACGGACGTGGCTGGCGGACGAAGAAATCGATGAAAAGATTTCGCGTTTCCGTTTAACATTCAGATTTAATACGCCGACGGCTCACGCGTCGACGGAGACAAACGAAAAACGGAAAAATCGAATTCAACGCCGAGCATTTTCACTTTTTTGTCTGCGGCAACCGTTCCGGAAGTGTCAAATTAAAAATCCGTTTATTTGAACGTTCGGGTCCCGTTCGGACAGCATTTTCCATCATGAACAATAAATCCCGTAATATCCGCGCAGCGTGTGCCTCTTCCACGCTAGGCAATTTATCGAACAATAAAGTAAGAGCTCTCATTGTTCATGATAGAAAAATCAGAATAAAACTTCCGTTTCCACCCGTGATCCACGCTCGCCGAGCTGTTACACCGTGAAAAATCGCTTGTCGCATTGTTCCAGAACAAATTCTTGCGAAAGTCTCACCGAATGAATTAAACCTTTGCGGTCTTGTGCCGGGACAGAGCGGATAACGTACGATTCCGATACGTGGTTTAACAGTTTTCGCTGTAATTACTCGTAATGCGAACCATTTAAAAGTTAAAACAACCAATTCTATTGTGTTATTTCAATTTTAATTCAACTTCTTCCTTACATTTTTGTGCCTAATACTGTAATAACACGATTTTAGTTCTATTAATACAATTTTTCCTGTAATTACTCATACTACGAACCATTTGAAAATTAAAACAACTAATTCTATTTTATTCTTTCAATTCTGATCAAATCTTAATTTTAATTCAGCTTTTTCTTTAAATTCTTGTGCCTAAATTAATCTATAACAATATAATTAATATTACAATAACACAATCTTAGATCTAGCAATACAATCTTATCAATTGTCTCCAATTTCCTTTCGTGAACTTAATCACGACGTCAAACATAAACAGTAAACTTCGAACTGCAGTTGAATCAACGTCCAAATTCCAATCCAGGGAACAGAAACAGCTGTACATCTCGCCAATATTTACTGCGATTATTTCAAATATCATAATTACATCGCACATATCCGCAGTTTTACCGTTTCACGAATCTCCTAAAACAAATGATTAAGGTGACACATCAAAGACGCAAGAACAGGAACAAAAACACTTCGGACCGCAAAGGGTTAAACGTCTCGGTGATTTATCACATCCGCGAAGAAAATATATCGACAGAGAGTTTATTCAGCGCAGTTCCTCACGGATTATTACAAAATGGTGAAACCTTACCTGGACGACGACTCCTCGGACGATATTAAAAAGACCCCTAATGTCCAGCGTTTACTGGCTCTAGCCGAACAGGAATTCATTAAAAGTTATGGTGCGTTCCCTACGTGCGCCGTCTATGCACCTGGATGCCTGACTATAGCCGGCAAGTGTACAAATCTGACGGAAAGTAAATCGCTGTCCATGGTACGTGCAAAATTTATCTGCTGCACCACGCGGTTCACTATACGCTAATGGCCGCGCGGAAGGTATGCGACGCCGGATCACTTCGATCATCCTGCGAATATCGTAAAGTCTGACTTAGTGCCAACGACTTTATCCCAGAGTTAATACTGTCTGAATTATCACGGTCGTTCATCTGGTCGGTACGCTATTATACATTCCCTGTACAGGTATCTGGTTCACTTTCTTCATTCATTGAATCGTAAGATGAATCGGGCTAATCCTCCCGTTTATGCTCGCTACTAAAAGGCTAATTTATCGCGACGAATTTAACGATAATCGATTTATACGAATTTATCGTGTGCACTATTATTATTTCTTTTTTTCTTCTATTTTCTAGTTCGTAGTTCTCGAGGTTACTGTTATTCGCGAGTAGAATAATTATTCTAGGGTAAAATATTGCAGGTAACATTGAAATAAATATAGGCCTTTAACACTAAAACTACTGAACAGTTAAATTGACTTTTCGAAATTTCTCTGTAGAAACTCCAAGAGTGCGTTTACCGAGACTTCAATTGATTTACAATTCAGTTTGCGTATCGGTAAATTCATTTTTTTAATAATTTCTCAGAGAAACATCTGTTATTTCGTTAACAATTGCAGAAAGATGACATCAGGAATGGATTATTTTGACCCATTTGGTAGTTCTAATGCTAAGTGTCGCTCTTGAATGGTGGGATAATTTATATAAACAAGGATATGTGTTGTTTTTTATTGTTTTTTTTTAATGCTTCGAGGCAGGTGTATTTTGTAAAATCATTTTGGGGAATGTTTTGTGTATGTTATATTATTGTTAAAACATTGTATTTATATTTTATCAAATGACAGATTATTTTACATAGCCTACGAAACGAAAATTTTATTTTGCATTTTAATTAGGTAGCTGCACTATCGAAGTATTCTATGAAACGATGATTTATTTTCTCATAAACTAAATTAAAGTATATTATAATGTGATTAAAAATAATGAATGTATACATTTTTGAACAAGATATGTTGAAATCGTCTCGTTTATTGGGAAATTCCTACAACAGCGAATAATATGAAATAACGAAATCGGAATGCATGTTGCACAATGTACCGAGGAAGTACTGTAAGAAACGTCATTTAATCGTTTCTTTATCGTATACATGTATGAATACATTGACGCAAGCAACCAGAACGAAACTCACTTAATAAAATGAACTGATTCGTTTCACTATAACCATTTGTTAGTCATCTCTGTTGACTTTTAATATATAACAATCTCACACCTTCTTAACCCTTTATGTTCTGATGCATATCGCAAATAAATCCATAATACATGTAATTATAATATAACTTACATTAATCAGGGAGTATTATGATACAATTTAATGCAAAAATGATTTGGTAAATCTTAGTAAAAGAATTAATTTCGTGGAATTTTTAGTATGAAACCTAAAAATTAGTGAAAGATAAAAATAAATATCAATGACAAGTGAAACTCGTGTTACAAGTTTTTAATTAATTTAAACAAAAATCAATGTTATTCATTACACTTGGATCGAAGTGAGAGTTTACTTTCCTGTTGTCGAAGTGTACCTTCGAAGTACACGTCCCGTGACATTTACAACAAACAAAAAAGTCTGTACGTTCTTGCAAGTAATAGTAAAATGAATCATACTAGCACAGTTGCAAGGAAAATCGCATAGTGAAGGATTAATATGGGTCAAAGTGAAAGACTAAATACTTTACCATTATGCGTGTTTTACCTTCAAAGTAAACATTCATTAACAATGAATAGAAAATTTGTTTGTTCTTGCAAATTATTAATAATAAGATAATTTAAATAATTAATATTAATAACAAAATAGATCGGACGGTAGAATTAATCAATGCATTAATCATTAAAATCCTTATATACATACATACATAAATATTTGTTAAAAACAAACCACTATTCCTATGAAAAAATGTTGATCCTCCAGAGATTTATGTATAATCACTAAACAGCGAATTGGTATGCGCTTATAACATTCACAAATTGATAAAACATAATAAAGTATTCTTTACCCCTTGTTGTCCGTTTTCACCAGAAGGATCCTTTTAATCAATGAGATCATATTTTCCTTCATTCTTTTTATAAAACGATCTATAAAAATACGGATTTGCATAAATATCCGCAGTATAACCCGTTTTCATCATTAAGCGTATACACAAGTACATTCCTAGACTAGATTGTCAATGAATAATCAATCAGCATTACCATATTACATTGCTGTTACTTACTACATTATTATGATTGTATATCATGACTTATATTTATCTCTACACATGAATCACTCAAACGTATTAGTTACCAGAAAAAATTCGTGCAGGTCCTTAAATCAAAATTTAAACGCGGAGAATGTTTTGGCAAAATAACTTTATTTTATTCGATACCAATGGCACATACATAATCTGCTGTTAATAGGAGTTAATTAAACTAACTGCTTTTATCAGTTAATGAAACTGCTAATAACAGCAAATTATGTGTATGGTATTAAGTAAAATGAAATTATTTTACAAAAACATCGTATCGTTGCTACAGCAATTGACGTTCGTTTGTTTATTTCTCAGAAGTCTGGGGTTGAAAAGTAGACAATGAAGATATGTATTCGTGCAATTGAATCAATCAAAATCGACATAAACATTTAACACGTTGACTGCCACGAGAATTTCTAGCGTTTTGAATAATAATACTTATTCTTTAATAACAAAGGCAAATGATACTGAAAATAATTATTAATAATTTAGTATCACAGTAGTCATATTACGCTATGATCCAGCTACTTATGTTACTAAATATTCTTATTTAAAATCAAGTTTCTTATTGTAATTGTTCTTCAGTAATTTGGAAGCTCAGGTCATCGGTGACCGCCGTGGCAGTCAACGTGTTAACAAATAATGTTTATAAAATTCAATATGCGTCAAATTCACGCGTTCCGTAAACCTATTGTTAAACTAGTGAAATACTGATTGAAATCGGACCACAATTCATCGCTAACAAGAAACCCGCACGAATTTCTTCCGGTAGCTAATAGGAAAAAAAAAGTTCAACGATAACGGAATATTTTTCATTTCGTTACACATGCGATGCAAATGGGTTAATAATCACTCTGCAGTAATTCAAAGCGTTCACTGGCAGTAACGGTGCTCCAATGACTTCGGCTGATAGCCGGACAACGCATGACCCGTACGTTAAGCATCATTGGAGCACGGTGTTTATCGTAAATCCTCCCGCTTCCGGGATCGCCTGTGAACGCGCGCTTTCTACGAGCGCGACGCTGGCGCGCAAAAAGTAATACGACCGTGCGCGCGGCGACGCGCACCATTCGTCTCCGTTTATCTTCTTTTGAAATAAAACAGGCCGTTCAACTTGTCACGTTGATAGTTGGTAAGCGTAGCCGCGACAACAAATGGTGTCACGTTAAAACGCTCTCGGATGAATTCGCCGAGGAGAACGTGTGCAGGTTCTATCCGAACGATGAGAATCTGCGAATATCCACGGAGGAATCGTCGTGGGTTCGGTACTTGAAAGCAACGATACAATGTTTCAAGAATAAGAGAGGTATCAACCCAGTTAACGCTTGGCCAACCGAATGGGGCAATCTCCCACTTTTCACGTAGCAACGCATTGCTCTTTATATTGTTATGATTAAACTCGTGCAACTGATTTGGTTAAAAACTGTTCTTTAAAAGCAATGAAAACCATTTGATAAATTGCAAACTACCCCAATTTAAGGTTTACTAAGTGACAAAAGAAAGAATGGTTATTCAGTAAGTCTTAAACTAGGGTTATTTGCAATTCATCGAATGCCTTTCTTGCTTTTATAAAACGACGTTTTTAACCAAATCAGTTGAACGGGTTCAATTAAAGTTAATGGAGAAGGTTATAGTTATAGATCTTTCAGGCGGTTGCCTAAGTATTAACCGATCAACTGCGTTCGAGGAGTATACACATCATCTCATAACGCAAAATGGTACTAATCTTTCAACGGAAAATTATTTATTTTTTCAGATAAGCATGTAGTTCTTCTTCGTTTCGATGTAATTTTTCGTTAGAATGTATTATAGATTCATTTTCCTTGCGTTTGACAAGTATGCACTTTATTATTTGATTTTATTGCGCGCGCAATGAGAGATTTTTCAAACTAAATTCCACAGTTCATTGGTTAAGATTAATAAAACTGTTACCAATATTTATATTATTCTTTTCTTGAAAATTATTGGGTTGATGAGACAGTTTTGTCGTTTGTTTTACAGGAAATAAAAAGAAGAATTCACAATGCTGGCTGAACTAAAACTTAGTAAAACTAAGTAAAAACGAGGGAAAAAGTGTCCTTTATACATGTTATAATAGTTTAAAAACAGATGTTCGTTTGGAAGAAAAAATGTTTTTGTTAACCACGTACAAAATACATCAAAATTAGTACATCGACCCAATACTTAGTAAGTCTTGAAGAACGATGTGCATTTACCTAACAACAAAAGACTCATTCAATACACCAACAATAATGATATTTTGAATAAAATGTGATTGTAGACGATAACACTTCTAATACTTTAAAATCATAATTCTAATACTTTATCGGATAGGTGAAAGTACTACTGAAAGTAGTAAGATAGTGTGCGTTATAATGTCCGTGAGGTCTGAAGGGGTTAAATACCTTCCTTGCTTTTATGAAACACAATTTTTAATCAAATCTGTTGAATGAGTTCGATTAAAGTTAATGTAAAAGGTTATAGTTTCTTCTCGGGCGGTTGCTTAAGTATTAACGAGATTCTGTACCTTCCTGTATAGTGTTGCTTAAAATTTGCGGAATAAGATCCCCAATTTAGGAATTTAGGATGTGGTATAATCGAGTATTAACATATTAACTGTGGAATTTAGTTTCAAACATCTCTCATTTTGCGCGATAAAATCAAAAAATGAAGTGTGTACTCGTCAAATGCAGGCCGAATGCACCTAGGATATATTTGAATGAAAAACCAAAGCAAAACAAAAGAAAATTACGTTTATCTGAAAAAAATAAATAATTCATCTTTGAAAGAATTAGTATCATTTCAAGCTTTAAGAAAACGCGTATACGCGCCAAACGCAATTAACTGGTTAAATTAACGTTTAATCGTTTGATCGTATATCTAATGTTAGTAAAATTACAAATTGAGAGTCAGATGTCTCTTTTATGAAATTGTTTCTAAGAAATTTAGTAGGAGTTTCGGTCACGTTTCCTTATCCTAACGTTTCCACGAAGAATTATCAATACGCGCACATTGGCACGTACCAACTAAACAGCACATTTAGTGTAAACATTTGATAAACATTTTACACCAATAAAGAAATCATCAGAAATTTTGACATTCCTTTATACGAAAGGAATAATATTCTGAAGTATTTTTGAAATGAAATGTACAAACGTAAGATAGAAATATACTTGAAAACGTAAGATGAATTCTTTATTCATTTATTTTTATTTGTTATTAATAATAAATGTTATGCAACATAAAAGATGAATCATTTTCCCGAATATGATAAAACGTATTTATCTTCAACTATTATTAGAAAATTTCTGCCATTTATTCTTCGTCAACACTTCAAATCTACGCTACACAAATTTACAAAACTAACAAATATTAAAAACAGTGCATGTTCCGGGATTCGAAATTGTGATCGCGTCCACGGTGCCTATAAAATGTGGTCTGGGCAGCAGTTCCGCCTTGGTCGTCGCGTTGTACACGTTCCTCGAAGTAATCACGAATACCCAAACAGCGAACGTGCTCGAAAAAACGCTGGTGTGTCAGTTGGCCCAGAAAATGGCCACAGGATCCCCCGATCACCGCATCGTCGATTCCTTGATTTCTATTATTGGAAACGAAGACGAGATAATTGCCTTCGATTCACGGTCCCTGAACATCAGCAAACAAGATTGGCAAACGGTCAACGCGGAAATGGTCCTTATCGGATTTCCCGAGTTCGATCTCGAGGAATCTGCGAAATACCGTTCAGACACGACGCGGCGAAAAGAAATCTTGAACATCAAGAACACGATCGCCCGGTGGCGAACGAACCCAGACGGCGATAAGATGATGCGACGTCTGTACCCGGAAGAAACGATGACCTTGACCGAGAATATCCGCCAGGAAGATAAGAGGATATCGGAAATAATGAAAACAATTCAAACGAAACGATGGAAGAAGCTGGGTATGGTGTTAAACATTTAAAAACATTACGCAGTTCGATTTTTCACATTTTTTTTATCCATTGCATAGTTTTAATAATGTATAATAATCCATATAAGCAAGTATTTTACACAGCTTGTTAAAATATTACATCCAATAAATGATATATTATTTAGGCTTTTATATATATATATTCTTTCTCTAGAATAGTAAATTGTGTCTCTCACTTGAAATATGTTTCCAAAAACTTTACAGTTTAGGTACCACGCATCTGCCCCAAGAAAGTGTCGAACTTATTCCTGCAAAATTTTCCGATGATTATGTATAATGAATGTTACAGGAAAACTCTTGTGGGAAAATTATCGATACACGCGTAAATCCTTGAATTATCTGCCAGACGAGATCGAACGTGTCATGACTGCGTTGGAGTCTACGGATGGTGTTTTAGGAGCAAGTCTCATCAGCCGCGGTCGCGGCGCTTCCATGTTCGCATTGGTAATCATTTTTCTTAGTAACACAAAATGACTATTTAAAAGAAAATATCGGAAACAGAAGACTATTACTTTTGAACTTATCATTTACAACAGAAAGATAACAATATAAATTAAACAGCAACGTTATTCGATTACCCTCCGCAATGAAATCGT